GAACCCTTAAATAATACACCTATTGTCATAATGTTTAAGAATTTCAGTTGAAGCTTTTCGTTCTGTTTTTTATTATTTATAATTATTGAGTTTGCATAGTCATATACTTTTGAATGCTTGTTTTTAAGCTTTGTTTTATGCAGAGCTTAGATCACATATTGCAATACCCTACAACATATAAAAATATAAGTAAAAGTGATAATTAAATTAATTCCAAACAACTTAGAACAAATGAATATTATTTTTTTAAATAAAGTGCTAATCAATTAGTTTATACAATTAGCACGAAAATAGTTGCTGATGCGATATGCGATGTGCCAGATGGATTAAAAACGAGATATTTTTTACATAACATTTATTAATAGAAATACATATATAAAAGTTTTGCATAAATTTTAATATGTTAAAGTTATAAAAAAGTGTCATTTTTATACATACTGTATGTATGAAGCTTGATAATTTCTACTGTTTTTACTAGTGCTGTACACTGTTGGAAACTGTTATACTTAAACATGTTCAACCTGAAAAGATTTCTCAACGTATATGGCCTGTTAAAAGCTTCATTATAAGTATAAAGGAAGTAAGACCGGATTAAACTGCAAATGAAATATAAAAAACCTGAAAATGATTAATTTATCGAATTTCAACAAACAAATTTTAAATCTCAATCAAACACTACCATTATTATATGTACTGTATGTTGATTACAATATTTATACGAAAAACTAAAATTTTCTAATAGTTCATATTTCTCCACTTAACTTTAATTTTTTATGCTTACATTCAATTATGATTATGATTAGTCTCCCTACACTTACAAAACAAATTGCAATTTCTTGAAAAAATTCTAATAATATTAAAAAATTTTTCAAAACGCATATAAATATTTAGTTTATATCGCTATAGATAAGATAATCTCATTAAGCAATGCGCTTATTATCCAACGATACCCTCAATATTTATATGGAATCTAACCCTTCAGCTGTTATGCGAACAAACTTCATTTGAAATGAAAATATCCAAATGTTTAAGTTGTAGCGTCAAAAAAATTGTATCTAAATAGGCATTCACTTCAGTTATAGTAAAATCAAAAAAAAAATGACAGATACAAATGAGTAAGCTTAGTGCTTCTATATCTAAGTATTAGTGAAATTCTATTATGTGCTCAAATAATCTTATATTATATATACAATATTTGAATACACATGAAAACTGGGTGGAGTTAATTCAAATGCTTTGCAATTATATTTTTGTTTAAAATTGCTCGACTTTTGCAAAATAAATAGAGTAAAATAAAATTTAATAAAAATTCAATTTAAATATTGATATTTAAAAATATAATAAAATTCAATTATAAAAATTACAAATTTAAATTTTGATATTGCATTTGCATAAGCCTTGCTTTCTATATGTAAGTAATTAAATTTAGTATGTGATACCTGTATAATTTGTTTGATATCAACATTATTGTTGTAGTGACATTATTTTAAAAATAGTTAAGCAATTAGTTTTAATTAATAAATTCTTTATTAAATATTTACAAGCTTGGTTTTAAGCAAAAAATTCTTGATTATACGTGATTAGAACTCAAAAGTGGTTCACGTAATTTACATTCTGATCCACAAAAGGCATGCACACGTCGAAAACATTATTGACAACTTGTTTTAATTATTTACTAATTAATAAGAGAAACAACATATATAATTTATTTAATAATTATTAGAAATTCCTTAAGTACACACATTATAGTGACAAATTTATGTGCGCATGCCTAAAGAGGGTTAACATACCAAAGTAATTTGAAGACTTTTTTGGTGTATGAGACAAGTTATTTTATTTGGTCTTCATATTTCGCCCACAGTCTGGCCAAGTAGCCTTAAAAGGTAGCAACGACTATAGTTGTTTTATTAGAAACTATTAATATGAATTTATGTATAGTACATGAGTTTTTATTCCATTATTCATTACATTTTTATTTTTTAATAATTATGACACCATAGACATATATTTGCAGTTATTGTGATTTAATTAAAACATATATTAGTCACCTCAACATCTAATAAGACATATTAAATTCAAGATATATTTTTATAAAGATTATTATTTATATAACAAAATTTTAATTATTAATAAGTAAATTATGAGTAATAATGTAATAGAAGTACCAACTACAAAGGACAGTTAACTCGTTTGAATATAGCAACTAGTACGGTAACTGAATAACATATAAACTGGGTACGCATTGGCGAAGTAGTTATTCTGTGATAAAAATATTTCGGAATTAAAAAATGAAACATTATAAATGTTTGAAATTAAAACATTATTAAACAAACAAAATTTAATTTAACTAAAACAATATTAAACAAACAAAATGTATTTTATCACCTTATCGTGTACAAGACTACTAAAAAAGATTTTGAAACAACCCTCCATTAATTTTTCGTAGATTTATTGAAGCATAGCTCCTTTTAACTCCTCCTATGAATTTTTAATAATCCAATCCATGCGAATTACTTTCTTTGAAATAGTGATTTATACTTCAAGAACAAAAAAAAGGTTTCACATATGATTCCTTTCATTAAGTTTACTGCTAAAAGCTGTTCCACAATGATAGTTCAGTACCACGGCAGTTCACAGGAACTAATACTAAAAAAAATAGTTGATATAAAAACTTTGGACAACAGATAGGAAACTCTGTGCAGTGCTACCAACATACAAAGTGTGTATTGTATATATAATATATATAAAATAAAAAGTGGCGTATATATTTAATTTTGTTTTTAAGCAAACATTTACGATGCTTTTCACAAAGAATGTATATCATCTATTTTCTGGGTATCCGCATAATAATCAGAATTTTTAAATCCATTATTAATTGTGCTTTGGTAACAAAATATAAAGACTTTCGCCAATATTAAACAAATCTAAATATTTAAAATTTACTGCGAACTAAAAAAGGAATTAATTTAATTCAAGCGCTGAAATTTAATCCATAATATTATTTTCCTGGTAACATGGTATTGGTTAATAGGCAAATATTTCAAAGACTAGAGATGCGAATTGCTAAGCTTTTATTTATTGTGCAAATTGTCAGCAGTTTTCGGACTTGGTTTCTTCGAGGAACTCAAAACGTATTCAGACGTATTCAAAACGTATTCCTTCCCGAGTCTTCTTATAGGAAATAAAATCCTATAATTTAAATTTTCAGTATGGAGTAAACAAAAATAACAAGAAAAAAGGTGTGGGTACATTATTTATTAGAATTTCTGAGCAAATAGAACGGAAGGAGAAGGTTTATCAACCTTTTTTTTATTATGCAGATTTCATTTTATATTTCATTATTTTCTTAGTTCAAATTCATTTAGCTCATTCAAACCCTTACAAAGTGGAATAATGAATCACTTGGGTGGGTTAAATATATCTTATATGAAAAGTTCTAGCAAAACGCAACGAAGCTAGAAAAATAATCAAGCTTTTACTTGACGTGCTTCAACTTTCAGAAAGATATCCTTTGAAGACTTTTTTAAATATGCGGACGCTTTATAAAATAATCAAAGAAATTAAAAAAATGACAAAATACTAAAATACTAGGAAGAAAGATATCTTATAAAATAAACCCTAAGGATTTGGGGGTCCCTAGTAGAAGGAGAGATATGGATTTTTCACAGATTTAACTTTATATCTAATCTAACTAACTCATAACACAAGTATCGGTTTTAAAAATATCAATATTTTATTGATATTATTGTTTAAGAAAGCACTAAGAATCGTGATTCAGATGAGATATTTTATTAAAAAAACTTATTTAATTTTAACTTTTTGCCCATCACATTTTAATTAGCTTTATAAGAGACCTTGTGCTATGTATTTTTATATTGTATATATTTAAATTGTTTATTGTTGATATGACGTAATATATTATATATATTTATAATGACGACATCATGTTCTTATATATGTATGTATTTTTGTTGAATATGCAAAACCAAAAATTGCAACAAAAGTGCGATTAAATTTTTATACATGATTAATTATATTTTTTCATTTATAATTAAAAACTTGATTTATTATTTATAAAAATGCAAAAGCAAAAAAAAAACAAAGAGAAAAGATACTTAATATTTTTATTAAAAATAAAAAACACAAATACACTGACAAGATTGTCTGTCTTCCATGTGTTGAAAATATTTTCAAGCCTTAGTTACTGCAACCACTTGTGTCATTCATCAATTTAATTTTATTTACGTACCACACTGCACATTCAGCACTTTAGAGTGTAATAAACTCAGTATAGCACAAATTAGTGAATCATTTTAATACAAAACAATATAATCTTTTAAATGAAGAACAATAAAACTTTAATTATTTTGTTCTATTTTTAATAATATAACTAATATTTTTAAAGAAACTTATAGGCTGTTTACGTGATACATTTTATGCATCGTAAGCCAGTGGGAAAGGACTTTTTCATATTCGCATAGATAATAAATTGTATTTTATTTTAGTATTGATTTAAGTTTAAAAAGTTTTTTATTTTTATATAAAAAAATAAAAATTTTCATTTAATATTTTTTAATTTATTTATTTTATGAAAATAAACTTGACCGGATAAAATTAATTATAAACTTTGATCTTGAAAAATTTCTTAAAGCACTTTATTCTAATATATATATTTATTATAAAAAAAATTTAAATATACGTTTTTGTATAACAATATTTATTTATCACATATATATAGTATAAAAAATTTTTTAAACAATTTTTATTCAATTTATGCTTTCAAAATAAATTTAATTTATTATTATTTCTATGATATTCTATTAAATTTTTTTATTGGAATCCTTTTTCATATATTCGTTTTATGTATATATACAATAGTATATATATACTTTACTGTTTACACAAACAAATTCACACTGCCTTACACAACACTTGCCATATATATATATAATATATAAAAAACATTAAAAAAATTAATACAACTTGTGTAATTCACATACTTCAGCTTCCGAAAATTTTGACGTTTGCACTACTGACCGCGCTTTCGAACCGCAATGCAACAACTCTGAATTCAAACTAAATGACTGAGTTTTGTGCGCGCACTCCAACGTCGCTAAAGTCTCGGCCGGAGCGGATCACTGAGATACGTTCGATCGTTTGACTGCGTCGTTAGAAAGTTTTTCTGACGTCGGCGTTGTCAAATAAAATAAAAAAAAAATAATATCTACAAAAAATTGTAGCTGGTCACTTTAGATATGTGCTGTAGCGATAATCACTTGATGTTTCCCTTTTTATGGTTGGTGTGTTATTTTTATATTTAATTTTTTTTTATCGAAATTATATGTTTAAAAACGCATCCAAAAAATTTGTTTTAGGCATTAAAACGCAAAAATGTTTTTGGTATACTGATATGATATATAGTTAAGCATATATTGTATTTGCTTGCTTTACGATCTCTTCTAAAACTTACGATAATAAAAGCATCTTAAAAATATGAACTACATTTTGCATTCTAACTATTAAATTTGGGAAGTGAAAAATTTATTTACGAGTATCTACCATCATTATTAATTGTATTTTAATTTAAAATTTTATAAAATTATTTTTGAATTTGTTTATCGACATCCTTTTTATAATGGTTTTTATACATTCGGGTATAGGTACCTTTTTTGTTAAATATATACACAAAAGACTAAAGAGGAGGATGTAGATATTGTTTTAGTGATATTAATTTATGGTAGATCGTGATCCTGATGATGATTCTCAAGGAGAGTCGAAATATAGAGTGTAATAAAAAATATTAAATGTTGAGTTATTTAATAAATTATTTAATAAATTAAAACATATATAAAAACCAATTATTTTGTAAATTATTTACGATTTTTAAATTTCACTGGCTTAGATGGTTAGTTATCACATAAAATGAAAAAAAATTACACTTATAATTTGTGTTAAAATTATTTTTTTAATTTTTTAAAATATATTTATAATAAACATATTTTTGATCCACATAAGAAAAAAAGAAATTTTCTTAATAAAATTCAAAATCTATTAATAATATATATAATAAACATATATAATTATATATATATATATATATATATAAATATAAATATATATATAAATATATAGTTACAATATATGTATGTTTATATATATATATATATATAATATATATATATATATATAAAAAATATATATTATATTAAAATTAAAAATAGGAGTAGAGTATTCTACTGCTTCCTAAACACTACTTATTAAGTTAAGTTCTTATTAAGTTAAAATAATTTTATTAAGTTAAGAGTACTTGTATAGTAACCTGAATTAAATCGATGTAAATGATATTGTGTCAGCTAAGCTCTTTCCAATTTTTTTCTTTTCCTTTCAGTAGTAGTGATATTTCTTATTTCAACAGTTACTATTCTAAATATCAAAAAACATTGAAAGTATCTTTACTAGACAATTTTATTAAGTGATTTTACAAAACAGAATATTTCTTTAGTTTCTTTTTCAAAATTTTATTAAATGAATTGTTTAAAAGTATTTTGCTTATAGGAAATTACCTATTTGTATTAGTAGAATATTAGACTACTCATTCTATTGTCGATCAAATGATTTTGAAAAAAAAACATGCAAAGTTTATAACATAAATAGGTTCCTTTTTTGTATAACAAAAAAAAGTAGAAGACAGCCCACACTTATTTACTATACAAAACTATTATCCTTTAACAATTAATATTTTAAATAAAGTACTCAATTTTAAATACTAAATTGAAATACTAATTTTTGTTTTCTAAATAACATTAAACAATTAATTTATTTTTTAAAAACTCATTTTTGAAACAAAGTGTCGCTGTTGCGCTTGCAAAGACTTCTTATAAGCGTTAAAGTTTGTATTTTATAAAATTATAATTCTTATTTAGTTTGCAAATAATGCACTATAAGTTCTAACAGTCCACCCCTAAATTGGTAAATATAAAGTTAATAGTTTTTCATGTATTGAAATTGATTTCACTTTTAATTTATTTGGTGTTAATGTAAATAGAAGATAAATGTTTTACTTTTAATGAGTTAAAATGGGTACCTAATGAGTACTTTTAAACGGTTAATAAAAAACTGGAATAAGAAAAATTTACTTCTGTAAACTTTGCTTTTGATTTGATTATGGAATTATGTTGCTTTTGAATATTTATTGGCTTTGCTAGTTAACTATGTATATAATTGGGCTTGTACTAAATGTTGGGGTAGTTGAAGATTTTTTTTTTTGAGTTTGTGTGGATGCTTAACAACGGTATCTAGGTGGCGTAATCTTTGTAGGATAGGAACAAGGCATTGATAAAAACCGTGTTTACAGCGCCATCTCTGGTTGCAATGATATGGGAAGTAACCATTTAAAATCCACAAGCCTATCCTTAGTTAAACTATTATTAATTGGTATTCTTTTTAATGGAATCAGAATTGTTTTTGCTGATTTTCAGAATCAGAATTGTTTTTTCGATTTTCGTGAAAATGAAATATATATGTAATATGTATATATGTAAAAACCAACATTTCCAACCAACATTTATTACACAATAGACATGTAAATATTTTTCCTTATAAAAGAACTCTATGGTAATAACCTCGGTTAACATAAAAACTATTATTTTCAAATTTTACTTACAATAACTTAATTTAATTTCACTTCACGTTCTCTCAGTTTATTACGAACACGATTAAAATATATTTCTTTTAAATATATTTCTTTTTACAAATTTAAAAAATTTTAATAAATCTTCTTTACTTTCCGTTTTACTTTAAAACAAATCAATTTTTAAAGCTTGCGG